CTGGCCGCGCTTAAGGTTTCTCGGCCCACTACATGGGATGCGGAGAACCTTCCGTCTAGCTCTGTCTCTACCAACGACCACCCTGGCCCCACGAGCCCTCCCCCTACACATTATACCGTCGCCTCGTCTTCAACTTCGGCCAATGCTCAGCCTTCTGCATCCGATTCTCATGAACTGGTTGACACCTACGATCTCTCTATGATAACAGACGGACGTACTGGACTAGAATTCCTATATCGTTTGCGGGGCTCTTGTGAGGGCAATCCAGTTTATCAAGCCGAATGGAATGCTGCTATGTCGCCGGTCATGACCGACCCGTACTCTGAAATTACCAGTCCTGCCCTTTTAAAACGGAGGCATTCGGTTGAGACGCGTTATCATACATGGGTGGCCTGGCGTGACCCGCTTCTTCCATTTCGCCTTTATTGGCTCGCGGAGACGCTTTTGAAGTATTGGGAATGCTTCTTCTTTGCAATGGTATGTTCCTAATCGGGCATTTAATACTGTTTATTCACGCTATTGATTAGATTGACTTGGCAAGAGGGAGATCTGGCGTTGACGGCCAGTCGCTGCGTTCGTCGACCGTTTATCAGTGGGGGGTCACCTTTCTGTTCCTAATCGGCAGAAATGCCGTCGACAAAGATCAAAACCATATAGGGAAACGACTTATAGAAGAAAACGGCTTGTGGTTCAAGATAAAGGACCGGATTGCTTGGTGTACATACAGTCTAGCATTCACATTCATCCTTACTAACAATTCTTCCAGTTGTTATCAAACTCGGGTTGGCACGACAGCCCAATGCCAAGCAGCAGTCGTTTATAGGAAGAGCCGAGCTTCTGTTGATGATGCGCGCTGGGTTCGAGAATTCCAAGCATTATGGGAGGGTGTGCTTCCAGCAGACCGTCGTCTCTATGATCCTGCTTTTCCAGATAGGCGTCCGCATTGGGTCGCTGGGATGGTCTAATGTAACATACCGCGACATGGAAAAGGTGAATTTTTCTTTTTGATAAAACCGGATATCCTCGGCTGATTGATATTCATAGTACATGAAGCTAGAAGACCTAACGATTATGCGCGAAGGTTTTTGTCGGTGGTCTGTTACTGTGCGGATCCACCATGTCAAGGTTGGCGATTTACGTTAAATCGAAAGTAACAGTGCTTATGCTCATCAGGGCCGTAACCTGAGCGTGGATGCTGATAGGGTTGCGACTTTCAAGCTTGATCCTGTTACCAAAATCCATAACTTGTGGTTCGATATGGGGTTGCATACATTGGTCTACCTGCTCGCTCGCGGGGCGCTGCAGGGATGTAGAGTTGGTGCACAAACTCTTCTGATAGGACTGACACTGAATTCTACCCGATAGACACTTCAAGATGTGTTTGACTATCAGGGGCATCTGTTTATCATTAAACCTGATATGTTAAAGTCCCCCCTGTGAGCGGTTGATATGATCAAATATCAGGGGCAGGAACTCATTCAGTGCAGCTTTCTAGAGCGTAAACCCCGGGGGTTAGAGCTTGGGAATGGGCCCGCTAGTGCGAATGGGATGAACCAGTCGATAAAGACACTTGCTCGACTTGCCCAACTCGCTGGTGTCACGTCCCATGCATTTCGTCGCGGGATAGGGAACCTTGTGAGTAAATTTTCAACGGTATATGCCGTGGTTAAATTGCGTTTGCAGGCAGGGTTGATCTTGGGTGCGGAAGCGGCGCAGCGTTTGCTTCTCCACATAACGCCTAAAGCCACATATTTCACCCACTACTCTCATAACACCATGAACCTCCCGGTGACCCAGCTTGCGTTGGGAGAACTTGATCATACCGCAACTCGACCTAACCGGGTACGCAGAGCTAGCTCACCTTTATTAACTACTAAAGTAGGCAGCAGCTTGCAATTAAACGCAACAACTCGTCGCAACTTGCTGTACAAGCCTTAATTCTTTCGAGCCGATCCTCAACGTCGCAAGATGCCCCAGATAATGATGGCAGTGCTGATGCTGATGTCGATGCCGAAGATATGCTATCTCTTCATGCACCGGCACCTTCGACGAGCACTTCCAAGCCCCCGCAGCCAGGAAAACGCAATACCGTTCCATTAACAGAGGAGGAGGAAGCCCAGGTCGCAGTAAGCTTTGTTGTCCCAGTCTATGGAGATATGCCAACTGTTTTACAGGCAGATCCGAGCGTGAAACTATATCGTGGTCAACTTGATGAGGCCTGGGATGAATTCTATCGCCTCATGCCAGACGGGGCTCGTCTCAAGTATCAACCTCAACGGGAGGGGATCAAGCGTGCCTTCAAACACTATGAAAATCACCCCAAGTTTTTGGAGAACAAGAGCGCACTGGAGGAGGCAAGACAAACCTCTCACTAAATCAGATATTGACTGAATATAAATGATCGCAGGTTCAAAAGCAAATAGGAGATATCTCGACATTATTCATCAAGGCCAATCGTGCGGCTCGACGTCCGTTCCATGGGAAAAATAAGCGTCTGAAAGCTGCGGCTCCCACTTTAAACGTGACTACTGAAGAGCATGATCGTGCTGTTGCTGCAGTGGATACTATGCTTGAATCCTCGAACGACCTCCCAACCTTGGATTTTGATGTATCGGTCAGCTACTTACATATTTGCGCTATTGTTGATGCTTAACCCCTTTACAGATCCTTGCTTCGGCTGAAGTGCGCGAGGTTAGTATCAAAATGATCAAGCCGCCTCAACGTGCTAGATGTTTATTACAGGCTCAATTTGGTAAAGGCCTTTTAACCGAATTGTGTCGACAGCATATTTCGGATCCTCAGGTGATAAAGCGTTTACGAGCCGAAGAAGAGCAGTACACAAAGGCAATAACAGACCGAGAAGAAACCAAGGACACCGAAGGAGACGAAGAAGACGAGATCACATTTGGGAACGATGATGATGGTGTGGAAATCCAGGAGGTCCCGGAGTGGGACGATACAAACGAAGATGCGGTGTTCGAAGGTAACCGCGAAGAGGCTGTGATGCAATTTATGGCGGAGTCGATGAGACCTGTGATCGAAGCTGAGATTCTCCAAGAGCGGTACAAAGTAAGTAGAACTTGCATGATGAGTCGGCCACTAACTTTGGTTAGTCTCATGGCAACAAATACCCATGTATACACTGCGAACGCCTTCCGGAGGAATCAAGGCCCCACGATGGCCAGTGGTTATTCCAAACAAACGCCCAATTACGGCGCCACCAGTAGGTTGATAATATACAGGTAAAATTCAGGCGATTAATACCTTTGCAGAGCGGCGCATACGAACTGGGAGCTACTTCGAGACTACATGTACACCGACGATGACAATCTGTTCAAATGCCCTCTCCAAGAATGCGACTACCTGTTCGTGAATCACCCCGCTATATTACCTTGCTGACTTTGAATCTAGCTCTACCGACATCGCAGAAGTACAGTCCCACTGCCTCCTGGGGTGCTCAGAAAGCTCCTTGTTTCAATCTCTGAAGGATGAACATGACACCCGGCCAAGCGGAGGCGAGGGCCCATATCGAGTATCCCTGAGGTCAAGACAACTCGCCGAAAAACTTGAAATGGGCTATCAGTTTCAAGCCTATGAGATACCACGGATGGATTGGTGGGTTGATTTAAACGACGAAAAGGTCGAGGAAATTGCGGAGCTATGCTCGGTGAGCAACATGATCGAATCTGCACAAACCATGTGTAACCGCCCACCAGCTCGACCCAGAAGAGATCCGTGTTTACATGCCGGACATACGAGAGTTTATGGGAACTGCCCGTCGGATGATGACGAACGAAGGGGTTCTTTACGCCTCGAATGTGAACGGTAATCCTAACGAGGTTTTACGTCAATACATGGAAAGGCCCAGCACACGCCAACGGATGCGCGACTTGTTCGCTAGAGTCGAGGCAGGGGAGCGGCCGCGTCCGAGGGATGCAAACACCGCCCCCGAGGCATACCACGGCGTCGTACAGACGGACGTCAGCACGAATGCTGATACACCGGTTGATGCTGACCGCGACATCATTGTCATTGACTCCGACTGAGCCTATGAAGTTCTAAATATCTATTTGCCTCGTATTGCGATCTCGAATCCCTGTACACGTGGCTGCTTGATGTAGCTTGGTGTAGCGCGTTTTGGTTATATATTTTCAATGAAGATACTCTTTTCTATTGATGTGCCAGTGACTGGGCTAGTTCTTGGAGACTCGGCGTTTTAGCCAACGGAATCGTTCGCAGGTTTGTAGCGTGACCGAGATTAATAGAGCCGGCCCTTAAGCTCTACCCCACAGTTTGACGGTCAACGCATAGGCTTGAATATGAAGCATCTTTAGTCGCTCGTACCGTCTTCACTAAAAGAACAAGGCGTATGAAAACGGGGCCATACTTGAAGCCGCTAGACAGGCAGATGGTAGGTACCGCCTCCGTAGGAGAGCTGGAGAGAGGCTGCGAGCGGGTTGCCGGCGCGCTGGATCAAGACGTTTAGGCTGGAAATATTCGAATGGGTAGGAACCAGAAGTATCTCGAAATAGCATTATATGCGCTCCCCCGAATAATAAAGGCACGGTAGCCAATTTACCAATGCATCCTACCTGCACATAAGATTTGTTTCTGCAGAATGCTCGGGTAGAACGTATGCTAAGCCTTGGCGGTCGGTCTTGTAATAAATGGTATTTGACGATCCGAATAGAATGTGCTGGGTCATGTTAGCATCAGAGCTCTTGTACACATGGATGGATTGTAAGCAAGCAGTTGATAGCTTGCATAATATTTTGGAACTAGGCGCGAGTCTATCCGGGCGCCTTTTCGTCATCTCGGTCGACGCAGCATGTCCCTTGCCCCCGCTCACCGACCTGGCGGACAGGTCCACCAAACACCATCCAGCAACGCGAAGCACCCGTCGCTTTTACGACGTTGATCTCGTTCATGCTGGCTGATCTTATTTCACATGACATATCCCGAACTTGTTTTCGTCTTCGAGTGTTTGAAGCCCAAAAAGTTGCCCCCACGCCGATTTGAACGACGGGCCTTTGCATTACGTGATGCAGATCTCACTCTGCAAGTACAAGTGCAACGCTCTACCACTGAGCTATAAGGGCTTGAACGTTTCGTAAGAAGATAAACTATATCCACTAGTTCAAGGACTTGACAACCGCCAGAAGACCTGACGCCCCGTCGGGATTATGTTCTGAGCGGCCCGCCTAAAGATATGACAGCTACATTTCCCCGGCCAACTCTGAGGTTGGAGCTCTAAGCAGCCAGAAAATGACACCTTGCTTAAGGCAAATAGACCGCTTAGTTGCCATGGGCTCAGCCGCAGAGTTCACCCAAGACTAAAATGTATTCATAACTGTGCTGTGTTTGGAATCAGCCCCCCGATAAATCATCTCGAGTGTTGAGTAACGTCGATTCCCCTCTCATGGGTAGTATGAGAGGAATAACGATGATGACCAAATCCATTAGTTGTGTGCCGCTAAGCAGTCTCGCAAAGACCCAAGGTCCGGTCTAGTTCAAATCATGGAGGACAAAAACAAGATATGTCACGGTGTATCTTCATTTCTAAACCTTTTGGCAAGCAAGGTTACCGCACGGGCACGGGCACCTCAATTAGATAAATCTAGTAACAGTACATAGATCAGATGCGGATATTATAAAATAAGCCAAGAGCCAAACAGCCAGTGCATATATTCACACGCGCATATAAGTAATTCCGAAAAATAAAGGCTCACTACGTTGACCTCACTTGACGTCACTCAAATCATGCCCCACCTGGTTCACGAATCATGGGGTGGATCGGTCAACAAACGTTCATTTGAGCACTTGGATACAAGATTTCCGAGGGGCCGGAGTCTCCAATCCAGGAACTAATAAAGAAACACAAAGGCCAAATGCACCGAGATACAGCAGAATACAAAAAATAAACAGACGGGTGCATAGGACTAATTTAAGGCAATACACATTTACGAACGCTCGCCACGGAGACGACGGGCGAGGGCGAGATCCTTGGGTTGACTAGAAGGTGGATCAGTGGCCGCCTAGCAGACTGTAGACTTTTGCTTACATGGTAACACGCTTGGCGTGAATGGCAGCCAAGTTGGTGTCCTCAAAGAGCGAGACGAGATAGGCTATGATACAATGAGCAAGCGGTGTAGCCCCACAACGATGACACTCACCCTCGCTGGCCTCCTGAAGAGCAAGGACAGCCGACGACTGGAAGCGCAGGTCGGTCTTAAAGTCCTGAGCAATCTCACGTACAAGACGCTGGAACGGCAACTTGCGGATGAGCAACTCGGTGCTCTTCTGGTAACGACGAATTTCACGAAGAGCGACAGTTCCCGGGCGGAAGCGGTGAGGCTTCTTCACACCACCAGTGGTCTGCGGTGCGCTCTTGCGAGCTTGCTTGGTAGCCAATTGCTTGCGGGGGGCCTTGCCTCCGGTAGACTTGCGTGCGGTTTGCTGTAGAGTTTACATGTCGGTATGTGTTTGGGTATTTCCATATTTGGAAGGGCGGGATTTGTGTGGCAGCGTCGGGCCGGTGTCGAGAACAGATGATGTGTCCAGATCGGGTGACGTGGCGGGCGATGCGGAGCGCGATATGAGATCGACCGGATGTATGCCGGAAACAAACCAAGGGATACGTCAGTAACGGCACAGACGATGGCAACGGGACCAGCCACGACCGCAACGACGATGAAGAGAACATCTATCGTGGCAGATACATGCGCAGGGTGGGTGCTGACCTTGGTACGAGCCATTGTACGAGTTTACGGGTCGATTCAAGTATAGAAAACGAGCTGGGCTGGGGGTTGTGCTCTTACGGGGGGCAAAAGCTGGTGGTAGTTGAGAGCAAGAGTGCGACGCTCCGTATTTCGAACAAATTGCGAGCCATCGTCTGTCTCACAAGCCCCTCTGGTTTGCTGGTCTGTGCGATTCGTCGTGAAATACCGGCTCGGCGCTTGACAAAGCGCCGGTCACCTCTCGCTATTTTCTCCGGGCCGCGTGAGACTCGTACTAGCGGCATCGGAGCAGAATGGCGGACGAGGACAAGATATATGCGCACATCGACCACGGCAATGGCCCGCATACAACTCTGCCAGCAAACAATACGCGCGAGCCATAACAAAGGACAATTGGGCTCCCTTGATCGATGGTGCTTCGACACCTCCACGCGTCCGCCGCTTGTTTCCTTTTTGCCATGTCTCGCCATCGATATATACTCCGGTTCAAGCCGCAGCAAACCTACCATTCTCCTCTCGCCTACTCCCGTCGTAATGTCTCGGCCGTCCGCGTCCCTCTCGACTATCAAGGGCTTCTCACTGACATTTGATGACTTTGCTGCGTTGAAAAATGTCTTGTACACGCCGTCTGCCGCTTCCCAAAATGCTCCAAACGAAAGTCTGGGCCAGGTATGTCCATCTCTTGCGAATCGGACCAAGCACTGACCACATGCTCCAGCGAGGTAGCCACACGGGCACGTCGAGTAGCATGGAGTTCCAACCCCGGCGGGGCCATCGGCATAGTGGATCCATGAGTAGCATGTCATCCGCTTCATCCACTCGCTCGTGGTCGCCTACTACTCCCACCTGGACTCCATCTTCGCCACCTGCGTCCTACACCGCCCGCCCACGGCGACTAACCGAGCGTGAAAAGGCCGAGTTGGCCAACTATACCCAACCCGAGATGGACATTACAGACATGGTCTCTGCCTTCAAAGACGACATGTCTTTCGAGCCCTTGCAATGAACAAAGGCGGTTGCCACCCTTGCTTTCGTGATTACCTGTACTTCGTCTTCTGATTGTTCCTTGCATTTGTACTGTACAATATCACATCGACTATTCGATTCACCAACCCCACCGACGACCACGACCTGTATCAGCGGCCACAGCCATAAAGAACAAGAATATGAACACCAAGGCATAATCAAAAACATAGGCTAAGGGGAGTGTATGTACGTAACAGGTGTTGCATAGAGAATAAAACCCATAGTTCAAGCAAAATGAAATCTAAATCTCGTTAAAGTTCATACGTTTCCGCCGAGTATCGCGGCTTCGTCAACAGGTCGCATGGCATCAATCGTGGCGGCCTCGTTCAGTGCCTGGACGCTTGTGATCGGGTCCCGGGGCCCGCTCGGCCGTCGCTGGGATCCGCCTTTGCTGCCCGACTTGGACTTGGACTTGGATCCAGAGGGCGTACCCCGACCGATAGAGCGCGAGCCCGACCGGCCACGCTCTTTGCGCTCCTCAGCCAATAGGATCATGTCAATTTCGCCCTGAACGACGATACCCTCGAGCCATGGGTGGTTGACCATGTCAGCCGCGCGGGCACGCTTTTCAGGACTTAGACGCATCATGGGCGTGAGGAACGACCCAATCATCTCGGCGTCGGCGCGTGGCAAAAGGTACTTGTCATGCAAGACGGCCTCGATCGGCCAAAACCTGAGTTTGTGAATGTGTCGCAGTTCACCTGTGAATCGTGAGCTTCGGCGCAATTCAGCACAGGAACCACATACCTTTTCGGTTGAAAAATTCACCGCTGTACTTGCCAGAAAATGCAATAGCCCTCGGGAATTCACCCAGTAGTTCGATAATCTGCGCGATATGGTCGTCATCCTTGCTATACTTGGTCCCAGCTTGGGGGTCGAAAAGGTAATCTCCACCGGTCAAGAGCTCAAAGATCTGAACAGAGTATTAGCTTCGCGAACAAGACTCCATCGTTGTACGCACCACACAAGCCGCGCTCCACACATCTGCGCTGGTACCCCATTTGGCACCCAATATGACTTCTGGGCACCTGTACTGCCTGGTCTGGATGTCGTCCGTAAAGTGGTGGTCGGTCCAGCACGCGTTGCCGAGGTCAGCAATCTTCACCGTGATGCGCTCGCCTAGCGCAGCAGGATCGAGCGATGCGATGCTTGCTGCGACGTCTCCAGGGAGGGGAGACGGTGAGTGTTCATTGGCGGCAACAACTTGTGCCTTGATGCTATGGGGCGACGGCGAACTCGTGCTCTTGCCATTACTAACGTTGCTACTACTCGGGGTCGGCTGCTGGCTATGTACGTCGGCCGGAGCATTGCGCGTGAGCAAGCTTGGCCCGGCTGCGGCCTTGGGCGCGGGTGCGGGTCCTGGGGAATCATGTACACGAACGTCTCCCATCGCACGCTCGACGCTTTCAGTATTCGTGTCAGATTTTTTGCCATTCGCCTCTTCTTCTTCGGCGTTGATGCGCGACATGCCAAAGGCCCACTTGTCAAACGCAGGACTGGTGCCATAACTAGACGAAGGGGATGGAAGCGGCTGCGAGCCAGTGATGAATATCGACTCGGATCGTGGAGTCTGGTTCCCTCCACGTCCTCGCGAGGGTGGGACTCCCACGATCTTGGTGGGCGTTTGCGTGTTCTGAGCAGATTCCAGTTCGGCCTACGCGGTCGGGTTAGGAATGCCTCGGAGTTTAGTTTTCGGACGACGTACCTGCACCACAGCTTCGACATCATCTATACAAACAAGCACGTTTTCGGGCTTTAGATCCTACGCATGCGTGTTAACAAAGAAAGATGAGCGTGAATCGGCAAGACGTACTGTGTGTATGACGCCACACTGTCTGTGCATATAGTCGAGACCGAGCAATATTTGCTTTGCAATCTGCTTTACGAGATGCACCGGCACACCCTTGGCCTGAATCGATGTTAGCCAAGGACACAAGCAAGCGGGAAATTCACTTGCCTGGTGTCGCTTGATGAGTCCGAGCAAGTTCTCGCCAAGAACTTCAAACACCATGCAAACGTGATTGCCATTTGGTCCCTTGTGGCGGAAATGGTCCAGGAAACCTGTGTGCCGTCAACGTTGGTCGGCATGTCAGTTATGGTGTGCATACCTATCACATGTCTTCGACCCGGGTGGTTGACGTCGCCGCTGATCAGTCGCTGTAGTAGCTTGATTTCGTCGAGTGCGGTTTCGGTATAGCGTTGTGCAGACTTGACGACTTTGAGCGCGACATGGCGGTTCTGTCTAAGAGGGGCGTCAGTCTCGATCATTCGGCTATTTCGAAAGAGCCTACTTGGAGTCCTTGGCCAGCCAGACGGTACTGAAATGGCCCCATCCT